TCCCTTCCCTAACGGACATTCCCAGCCCTTCTCCCATTCCTCACGTCCCAGCCAGGCCTCCCTTCCCTCCCCACATTCCCTAGCCTGCATCTCAGCTGGTGAGGCTACTCCTTCCTGCGTTCGGTAATGATTGTTCTGGAGAATACTCATTTGTAATCATTTCCTTTATGACCAGATAAATATAATTACACCTTATAAGGGGTCTGTTGGAGCCCACCATAATAGTGTATGATTTACATCTATCATTCTTGGACCCTTCGCTTAGCATTTGTTTGCATTTTGGCTCCAGGGAAAATGCCTGTATGATTAGAAATTTACACCCCAAATATAAAGTTTCCGTCGATACTTAGCTACTTTATAAGAAGCAAAAGGGCAAAAAACGGGAGAAATACAAATTCTTAGAAATTGCAAAAAACGGAAAAGCGTCACTAGACACCAAGTGCTGCCATCTGCCCGCAGGTTTTTTCACCAAATGGAGATGATATATTTACTGGCAGTGGGGAGAAGGATGAGGTCAGCTTCGAGTTGCCTCTACTGATGTCACACAAGCCGGATTTTACCCATGTGATACACAACATGATCCAGGACTCGCTCTTATTTCGTACATATTATTTTTCACTATGATAAATATTGTAAATATACACAGTTGTCTTCAGAGCGAACCGTTGTTTTGGTTATGTCTCGACACGCCCTGTCTCCCAGCACTACCGTCTCTCTCTCTCTCTCTCTCTCTCTCTCTCTCTCTCTCTCTCTCTCTCTCTCTCTCTCTCTCTCTCTCTCTCTCTCTCTCTCTCGGCTTTTGTGGTACCGAGGCCACTGTCTTCCAACTCACCCAATGTACTCAAGATTTATGGGTAATAATTACCTGGTAATTATATCGTAAAGACAATTGTCCATGACATTAATCGGGGAATTAGGAATTTCGTTTTATTAAAGGCATATCAATTATGGTATGGCAGTGCGTGACATACAATTTCTGTACCACCCAAACATTTGTGCCACTTAATTTAAGTATTTGTACCACCCAAGCATCTGTACTGCCCAGACATCAGTACTGCATCAGATGGAGGAATTACATGTACTTTAGCATTCGTCTAGCTTCTCGCATGACAAAGAGACTTGCATCATTTATTCCGTTGCATCTTGCAGGGTCACTTGTTCTGCAGGAATTCTGCCCGGGAGTCCCTTATAAATCTAGCAAAAGATTTATGGTTGAATAATTGTTGTAGTATAGACTATTTCATTCCATTCACTGCTAGGTCAGATTCCAGAGGCTTTTGTGACGTGTTTCCTTTGTTCCTTGAAATAATTTTCTCACTTGAAGACTATTTATTTTCATTGGTAGTTAAAACCATCAGATGCAGCTTGAGAGAGAGAGAGAGAGAGAGAGAGAGAGAGAGAGAGAGAGAGAGAGAGAGAGAGAGAATAAGTAAAGTAGGCGTAATAAATTACCCCAGCGACAGAAAACAACACGAAATGGAATGAACTGGATCGGACAAACAAGTGAATCAGTTATGCAAATAAGCAATAAAGAGTTACGGCCCTGAGTTGCCAGATGCTCAACTAATTCATGGTTTATCATCGGCCCCTTGGATGAGTCGCGTGGGTCAAGTGGAGAAAATATTTACTCAGTTCTATAAATGACAAACTATCAATGCATATATACCAATAAAGTACACTCAAGTCAAATAAATAAATAAATAAATGGAGGAGAGAGCGCACTTGGCAGTGCATCTTGATGACCAATTGTGATATTGCAATTGACCTCGAAGCTTATGTTAGCTGCGTGTCCCGAATTCTGCGCTTAAGATTGGAAAAGCTCCACAGAACATCAGCTTGACTACACGTTGAGTGAAGGGCTTCTTACTGATGCCGTGTTTGTCAAACTCATCCCCAAGATGGGTTCAAGTCTCGTTGTCACTCAGACACACACTCATGCACACACTCCAAAGGATCTTGTTTCGATATGTGAGAGCAAAGTAAAAAGCTTTTAAGAAAAAAAAAAGGGTCATCTCAAGGTTGATTAATAGAGCCGAACGCATGTCGCGCTAGTTTTGCCTTACTGGTGGCCGACAATAGGAATGACGTTACTAGGGGCGGTGTGTTGCAATAATGATATCGCTCTCTCAAGCCCACACTGATAAGCATCACTGGGGTGGGGGTAGATGCTGCTGCCGCTGCCTGACTCACACTTGGCTCATCTCACACTAGAATATCACAATAAATTACCAGCCTGACACTATCTGCGCGGCGCATCTAGTTCTGCTGGCCCTTTTCATCACGGCTATGGGATGAAGACGAGAGATATTTTTGCATGGCTCTGCCCGACGGAGGGTTTAATGGGGCGATGTCTTGTAGGAGAATACAGGCACAAGCATGTATGTCACTGCTAAACCTCACTTGCACTGCCCCATGTGTTGGAGACACAAGCTGGAATGCAGAGTAAAAGTTGATTGCACGCTCCATTGTGTATTCTTGCCACTAAGTGGATTTGTATCTCGCTATAATTATATTCTTGTATTCTCATGCTAAATATACTGTATTATATCTGTCTTCGTGTTTGTGTGTGTGCGCGCGTCTGAATCTGTCTCCAGGTGTGTCTATCGAATCTATCTGTATCATTCTCTCTCTCTCTCTCTCTCTCTCTCTCTCTCTCTCTCTCTCTCTCTCTCTCTCTCTCTCTCTCTCTCTCTCTCTCTCTCTCTCTCTCTCTCTCTCTCTGTGTTTAACCACTTGGATGAGCGGTAGAGCGACGCTTCATGCAGGTAGGCGTTCAATCCCCAACCGTCTAAGTGGTTGGGCACCACCCCTTTCCAGTCGTAATCGTAATGGCTTGTCGCTTTCCCCTGATCTCTCTCTATCTCTCTCTCTCTCTCTCTCTCTCTCTCTCTCTCTCTCTCTCTCTCTCTCTCTCTCTCTCTCTCTCTCTCTCTCTCTCTCCCTCCCTTCCTCTCCCTCCTTCACAAATTCCATTTCTATATTTATTTCGACCTTTCTTTTCTCTCTCTTTCGCGCTATACACTGACCAGGACAACGGCAGCGTGTTGGAAACGGTATTTCATGTCTATATCTATCACAACTTGAGCTCATTTTAACACGTGAGCGTATCTCTAACTTGAGAGCATCTCAACTTGAGTGTGGCTCAATTCGAGCTTGCCTAAGTTTGAGCGCAGCTTAGTCTGAGCGTCTCTTAACCAAGGTGACCCGTTGAAATATGTGACCTTACAATTGATGGTTTTGTGCCTCTTGTTGTGAAGGTCAATTGCAAGTCAGCTATCGTTTTGGCCACTTACGGTACGGGTATTGTGTATATGTTGAGGCAATTGTTGAGGAGAGATAAATGGACTTACAGAATGCTGTACCAGGGTTCGAGTCTGGGGGGGTTTTCTGACGTTTTCTGGCTTTTCGGGATTGTAATCGTTTGTTTATTGTTTATTGTTGATGTGATATTTCTTGTTCGATGTTTTTGTGGGTGTATTGAGAGCTGTGAATGCTTTGTTAGACGCGATTGTTTGGGCAGTGGTGTTGTTTGCTGGAAATTGTTAGTTTTGTGAGCAGTGTTTATACTTTATGAGTTGTGCTGAGTTTTTTTCAGTGATTGTTTTATGTGAGTATTTTGTGGTGTGCTTGTTTCGTTAGTTTTTAAACTGTAAATGCATTAGTTGTGAGTTTTGTGAGATCAGTGATTAGTAATCACTTTCAGTGAGATAAGTGGCAATTGTTTCCGCAGGTTTTGGGAGAAGTGTGATTAGTAATTGTTTTTGTAAGTTGGGGAAGTAAGTTTAGTAGTTGTTTACTGAAAGTTTTGCTTTTCAGTGTATATGGGTATTATGTGAGGTGGGATTTTTGTTACTGATTTATTTGTGTTTTCTGAACTGAAAGATATTGTGTTTGTGTGTTATTAGCTCTTGTTATTTAATATATGGTGTGAGTTTCAGCTAAGTGTTATGAACTAATTACTGTGGAATTTTAAGTCATATCATGAGAGTTGTGAGGTGTCGTAGGAGATATATTTAGTTTATTCTGTTTTCGAAATTTTTGTAATAAGTTGTTGAATGAGTTGAGTATTGCAAATGATGAGTGTGTTGGTTTATTTCTTTGCGACATGAATAATATGAGCTGTTTATGTGAGTTGTGTTTTTAGTTAAGAGAGTTTGACGATCGTTCTCTGGTTTGTGTATGTTTTATGAGTTCACTTTTGCTCTTTGTAAGCTTTACAAACAACACATAAATCTCGTCAAATTTTATATTGTGAGCTTATGTGAATGTTGTGAGTGCATGTGTTGTTGCTATGGTGATCAGCCAGAAACACAAAGAGCTTCCGGCAGAAACAGCAGCTGTTTGGCAGCTAATGAGCTTTCGTGATTTAGTTTCGAACAGTTCCTGATGGACCCGTAACACTGTACTATTTGTGGTTGGGGACAATTAGCGGTACGACACACCCAGTCATCAACTAGCGTATCGAACGCGCACAATCGCATTCACCTCTGGTCTGGTCACTATGTAAACATCCAAACGAGGCTTTAGAAGCACGGAGGTGTTGAAAGGTAAACAAAAATTAGGAGAGCCCAGTAACCAGTAATCTACAAGGTGGTCATTCTCGAAACCTTTAAGGCTAATGGGAACCTTGAGGAATGGGTGGGCGGACATTAATTTTCATAATTTCTGGCATATCCGATCAGCAACAATACACAGGTGATGCAAACGGATTGCAATTCTGATATTGAGTGATGGCGGCGGCAGGGTAATGAATGGTGCACTGAGCATTGATCTATTATGAGGGAGGATGGGAGGCAGAGGGGGGACACCCTGAGCCCACACGTTAAGAGACTCAACCCCACTCATAGGAAAGGCTTATCTTTCTCACCATGGTTCATATTCCCCCCCCCCCCCTCTCTCTCTCTCTCTCTCTCTCTCTCTCTCTCTCTCTCTCTCTCTCTCTCTCTCTCTCTCTCTCTCTCTCTCTCTCTCTCTCTCTCTCTCTCACCAATTAAGAACACTTACTCGTCTCCGCTTTTGATCTGCTGTGACCGAAGGGCGATGCCACACTCATGTTGCGACCTTCGTCTTCGTCGTCCATATTCCGCTGTGGTTCCCTCTTGGGCAAGGAGAGGTCCTGCGCTCCACTGTGGAGTCCTCCGGCACCCAGACCAACACCCATGCCTAGTGAGCCTCCTACGCCCACTCCCAGACCTCCGGCGCCCCCCATACCGAGGCCTGTCCGTGCAAAGAAAAATCAGTTCATTAGTGTCAATGATTTAAAGAAGAATGAATATACTCATAGAACAGTGTAATTATGTGGGATTATGAATTTTCAGGATTAAGAAAGCTGTAGAGAAAGTGTATGAGTGATGGAAGTGTAAACATCTGTCATGATGGTGCGACGTACCAGCAGCGCCAAGACCCATGCCGGTGCCGCCCTGGAGCTTGCTAAGCTCCTGGTGGTAGGCATCGAGGGCGAGCTTCACCTCCTCGGGAGATCTGTTGAAGAGCAGTGACTGACCCAGGAAGGGGAAGAGGATCCCCGGGTATTGCGGGTCCCGCGGCAAGGGAAGTGGAGGCTCTTGGGGTCGTGACATCAATTTGACGAGTTCCTCCTGGTAAATTCTGGCCACTTTTTCCTGCGGCATGTCGTCGTTGTCGAACTTTCTGAGTCGCGGCCGACTGTCACGTGACAAGGGACTGCTGGAGGAGAGGGGTAAAGGGGTCATCAAGTCAAGAGGCGAGGTGAGTCATTCTCGATTTTCATCATAAACACTTAAGATCAAATTAATACGTCTTCATAGCTTACGTTAGCAATATCAGTATTATTTCTAAATTGCTTTCCTGAAGTAAACTGCTTTATTCTTAAATGAGTTTTAGTGTGTATACATAAATATAATGGAGACGTTAAGTGAGACGAAGAAAGGAATAAGTTATACCCGACGAAAAGAAACATTTATGTCAGACGAATGAAGGAAGCAGTTAGGTCAGACGAAGTGTGAGATACTCAACTCAGGAGCACTGCGGCGGATGTGAGTGAACCTTGAGGCATGCTATATCATGGATAATGAATAATCACGATGATGTTACACAGACACCAACGCCAAGTCGGGTCTTTAATCTCACCTGGGAGAGTGTGTGGAGCTGGCCGGAGACTTGGAGTCGGTGCTCCTGGAGTCCTGGTCCTGCTGGCCGGGTTGGTTGGGCACCGAGGTGGATGTCATGGCCCTGGAGGCCTCGCTTAGGATGTGTTGGATCCTCTCTTCCGTCACAGTGTCGTCAGGACCACGATATCCACCGCCGGCCTCCTTCGAACCTGTTAAGAGACCTACACCTTAGTTATGGTGTATAGTTCTGCCAGTGAAGTAATCCCATACACCTTAACTCAATTTCCTCCGTTATATAGCCCATGTATTTCCTTTACTATACAATAATCAGCTAATATAATTCCCATCATCCTAATATTATGCTTGCAAAACATGCCCTGCAGTTCCCTAATTTAGCATTCTATACACGGTATATAGTCTACTTCCTACTATCTTGTTTTACTACAGTATAATGTGTTAATACGCATAACTACAGCGTTGATGGTAGGGTTTAAGTGCCCAGCAATCCTGCTTATGACCTCGCGTGTGTATTAAGTGGGTTATCAACCCCAATCACAACCTCACGTCCGTATTTCAGGTGGTGGGCATTTTTACCCTCTAATGTGTCTCATGAGTTTTTTTTTTTTATCTTTATTTAAAAAAATACAATATAAGTTACATATACATAAGTGTTACAAGGCAATTATACATTACAATTCTTAGTGAACAAGTTGGCCATTTTAAGCTAGTGTATATATATATATATATATATATATATATATATATATATATATATATATATATATATATATATATATATATATATATATATATATATATATATATATATATATGAATGACCATCCTAACTCCATGTGTACATCAGGTCATCCTAACTCCATGTGTACATCAGGTCATCCTAACTCCATGTGTGCAACACGTAGTGACCGTTTTAGCCATATGTACACGAGGCGGTGAGCACCGTAACTCCCATGAGTAAGTGTATCAGGCGTCGACCAACCTCGCAGGCGACCAAAGGGTCGAGTAGAACCCGACCAGACCAGATTGTGGGTGAATTACATTAGTACATTAGTGTAATTTACTCCTCATTACGGCACATATCGTGGCACTTGACTCCTCACCCTCTGGCATGCAACACAACCATCACCAATAATTGATATAATGTGCTCCTGGCAATTGCTTGTCCGTCTCCCCCCCCCCCCCCCCCCCCCTCGTCCCATCCCAGGGGCTTCGATCCCCCTCCCCCCCCACTACACCTGGCTATGATTCCTAATCCCCCAGATGTGGCCATGTGTGTTCACCCACACACCTGGATCATGATTCCTTCCCCGACATCTTATGATTCCTCTCTCCCGCCTTCACTTGGTCTATGATTCCTTTTTTATACCTTGACTATGATTGTTCTTTGTGATCCTCTTCCCCCCCCCTCTCTTCCTATCTTTAATGATTGGACCATTTGTCTTCAGTTCAACGACCTCTTCATTCACTCACTTGTATTCTCCATCTTCAATCACTTCATATGAAACTTTAAATACAAATATATTATTTACTTATTAAAATTGCTAAATAAATATAGTTTTCATAGATATGTAGCATTAATGCGAATTATTATTATTATTATTATTATTATTATTTTTATTCAAGTTTTCGGAGTTAAAAGCGCAGGTGAATGCCTTCTCCGCGCGGCGCACTCCTCTCATACCGCACACATTACTGCCCCATGTGGCACTCAGCGCACCCTTCTCCTACTGCGCTCATTACCTCCAACAAGCAAAAAAATGCTCCTAAGGAAAAAAAAGCAGATTCCTGAATGTGATTTTTTTTATTCTTTCTGTCTTTAAAACAGAATCTATTGTTCTTGGGTTTAGAAACCTCTCTCCGACTCTTGAGTGGGCTCTGTCTTCCAGTCCCACTACCTGAAATCCATGAGACCTAGCTAGCAGTTTAATTACCTAGAACCCATCAGACTTGACTAGCAGTTGCACTACCCGTGAGACCTGACTTCCAGTCCTCCACAATCAACGGATAGATGGAATTAATGTGACTTATGGCAGGAATCCAATACACCGCCCCCCCCCCCCGTCCCCTTCCCCTTTTCGCTTCCTTGGGTGTTGAAGAGGAAGGACTCGCTAAGGAGGTTCCCACTAGTTGGTGTGACTGTTTAAAGGGGTGGAAGAAGAGGGCAGGAGGGTCACGAAGGAAACTCAGGGTCAACACTTAAAACATGACGACACAATGTAAAAACTGGTCGAGAATGCCGGGAAATAATTCAGAGGGAAATTATTAGTGACGGGCCACTTTTGATTTTTTTTTGTGTTGAGGAAAGTAATTACAGAGGCAAGAAATTTAACACTTGGCTCATATTTGTATTTTGTTGTTAGATTTAATCAGTAAGTAAGTAGTATTCCTCGGTAAAAGAGATGATTACGTGCTAATAAGTGCTGGCGATGAAGCAGATCATGATGTTTTTCTCCGAACTAGCCTTCACCGGTTGCCACAAAGCCGCAAATTGTTCACAGTTTCACCAGCGCCAACACTCTCCTGTGTAATGGCCATCATCCACCTCACTAATGGTGCTCAGTCTGGCCACAATATGTCTACCATAACACTCCCGCTTGTAAACTCCACCTCCATCAATACCACCATCTCCACTTCCAGCACTATCGCCACCTCCTCCACTTCCAGCACTATCGCCACCTCCTCCGCTTCCAGCACTATCGCCACCTCCTCCGCTTCTAGCACTATCGCCACCTCCTCCGCTTCCAGCACTATCGCCACCTCCTCCGCTTCCAGCACTATCGCCACCTCCTCCGCTTCTAGCACTATCGCCACCTCCTCCGCTTCTAGCACTATCGCCACCTCCTCCGCTTCCAGCACTATCGCCACCTCCTCCGCTTCCAACATTACAACCACCTCTTCCACCTCCCTCAATGCCACCATCCCATTAACATCCATCAATACCACCACCCTCAGCCACCTCCATCATTACTGTCACCTTCTTGACTACCACCCCCTCCACCACCATCAATACCACCACCCCATGCCACCTATACCTTCTCCAGTGCCACCACCACCACATAACACCACCTCTACCCCCCCCCCCCCCCCCTTCCTCCTCCCTCAGCACCTTGGAACACACGTTTCCGTTGTGAAGGATTGCGCGTTCCAACGACCCAGAGGGCAGTTGAGCGTGACTTGTGAAACCCTTCTTTTATCTTAAGGATAAGAGACAGACTAAGTATTCTATTCTCTTGGATATGCTATGTGATCTTGCTACAGCGCCTGTTCCCTTCCTTTTGATTCTTCCTTTTGGAGGAAGTAAACCGAGGTTATAAGCCTAACTCAATGGTGTGACGAATGGTTGTTTTAATAGCGTGTTGAGGACCAAGTTGTTATGTTTAATAAATAGTTTAGCAATCCACCAATCAACGACAGTAGTTACACTAATGCTTTATTACTAACATTACACTCGTGTCCTCACCAATGGCACAGTCTCCCGCCACAATCACCGACACATTATCACACAATCATTTAACCCTTCACCACCCAGCCACGTACAATCATCACTCATTCACCTCCACACTACCATCACACTCATCAATTCTACACTTATACCGCCCATTCTACCTCTCCACCACCAGGCCACTACACAGCCAAACTACTACGTCACCACATCTCTAACACCACTACACCCATAATACACAAGTACCACCACCACCACCACCACCACCACCACCACCACCACAGACACCAGCCAAGCGCCCGCTGAACGGTAAAGGGACCACAAGAACTAGGGAAGCGTAGGATGGCAGTTCTGCAACCCGCGTAAAAGACAGTAATAATCATAATATCAGTAATTAATATGCAATTCGTGGCCGGGCTTGGTTCCGGTAGTCAATCTCAAGATGGAAAGATAGAGAAAGGTGGGCGATGTAAACAAAAAATTGGGGAGACAATGGCAGGTGTAGAGGAGAGGGGGATTCGAGCCAGAGTTTACCTCAGGTCCTCACGCACCGTAACTAACACAGTTTACCTTGAGTGTTCGCCCACCGTGGGTAACGCGACACAGTATTCGACAGCTTGAGGACTTAGTATAGGGGGACAGAAAGATGACGACAAGGAAAATGTAAAGAGAAAGGAGATTTGAGAGACAGAAAGGAAGAGAAAATAAGGTGGAGAAACGTCTCGCTTAAACCTTTCTTCCGTGGCATTTGCAATGGCTGTCGTGTAGGACCCTGTACTTGATCCCAGAACACGAGGCAACGTCACGCTAATATATGTCTTCTAGAGTCACATTTTGGCGGTGTCTCGACCAATGGCTGCGGCGGGGCTAGGATGATAACTCAAGAAAGGAAGTCTGTGATACCTACAATTAAATGGTAATGCCCGGGCTCCTCAAACGATAATAGCGAACTTGTGGGGTTATTGCTATCCTGAGCTTGATCATTGGACTCGAACTGATTGCTACGTTGCCAACCTCCCAGCCCGGCAATCATCCCCACTATGACATGATTTTTGACGGACAGTATGTAGTCCAGTCTTAATATCGAAAGAATATCGGGAAAGCACTAAGAAACGGGATCATAAGAAGTGCACGCAGCCATAACTCACGTGAGGGGGTACCGAGCGGGGCCATCTGTTGCAAGCTTTACATGCAACACCACCTTGTAATGTAGGTGTTAAAAAAAGTCTTCAATGTGGTTTTTTCGATTGCAGGCAACAAATGCGAGAGACCAGGTTGATATGATTGTCAGATGTCGTGATTCCGTTACCAATATGGATTGCGGTTGTTACCGGGCTTTGGTGGCGTGTGAAAGACAATAGTTACACAGGAAGGCAGCAAGCCCATGGAAGGGAACAGGCACCATGAAAGCCAGCAGGTTCTGTTGAAGGCAGTAATCCCCGAAGCAAATCCAGTAGTAGGAAATATTACTGGTATGCATCTTTAATCATTCGTCTTGAGGGATGATCTTTTTTTTTTTCCTCTTTATGAGTATTGAGATTGGTATTTGCTATTGGAACCAGCTGTTGTTTTGGCCAGCAAGAGCACAGTTATGTAAGAATTTAAGCTATATCGAAAATTTTATATGTATTAAACACTAACTATTTTTGTTCACAGATTTCTTGAAATTTTTTTGAGAAAGAGGAAAATTTCTTCAGCAAGGTCTAAGTACCAGAAGGTCAGATTTCCAACTTAGGTTAAGGTACAAAGCATCATGAA